TTTCTAGCGGCGCGCGATGTATTCACTTTCCGTCTAGTCATTTCGTTTGTCGGTGTTTATAAGAGTTAGTGAAGTGTTGCCTATCCATTCATGAAAGATGATTCTTGTCCTTTTCCGCCTGTTTTCCTTCATTGTTACCTCTACTACAGATTCGGCAAAACATGACGCCATTTGTCGTTGTCGTCATAAACCGCGCGAGCCACTTGAACTCCCGGCTCCACTCTTTTTGTAGCTGCCGCTTTCTCTCTCCTCTTCATACTCTCGATTCACCCTTTCCCTTTCTTCTTTTGTCCTGTCTTCTTTAGCGGTTTGACAAAATCGCCAACATTCATTTAAAATCAAAATTATTTCGTAACAAAATCAAAGATGAAAACAACACTCTGGTACGGCAACAAATTAATTGCGCAACAAACCAACACAAGCTGATGGGTGCGAAATGGATTCTCAGCGTGCAACTACGGTTTTGATTTAGACCAAGTAAAAGCTATGTCTTCTTGATTTGCCAATTCATTTTCTTGAGAATCTGCTTCCCAAGTAAAGCCGCATGTACACACACACGCGCACGGCGCACGGCACACGCGCGCTTACGCACCACACAGGGTGGAACTGCGAGCCGACAATGCGCAAGTAAAACAGCACAATGGCGAAAGCGAATAGATGTGCACGTCGCATTACGGTTTGATTTAGACCAAGATAACCAGCATTGTTTCTGTTTCGATTCACTTTGTCTCAGATCTGCTTGCCAGTACAGCCACACGTACACACAGCACACACACAGCGCGCGCACGCGCACCTGCGCACGACGCGAACCGACACGAAAGCACCTGCGCACACACCGGCACACACGAACACGGCACCCGCCACGAAGCGCACGACGCACAGCCACACACCACATCACACGATACACAACACGGTACACGTTACAATGTACGCAGCGCGCACGACGCACAGCACACACGTACACGCTACAACACGCAACACGTCCGCGTAGACGCGCACACACAACACCAATTCTCAAAGAAACAAAAAATCAAAAAAAACACACACACACGCGCCAGCGCAACATACCGTACGCACCACGCAACAGCATACATCACACACACGGTGTACCAGGACGCCACACAGTGTTACGGAGCTTTAAAAATAAAAAACCCTCGCTAAACTGGGCGAGTGAGTCAATTCAAGGTAAATCTGCCCTTCAACACGGAAAATGCTGTACTAGCCCAGAATTTAAAGGACGAAAAATGTCTTGGTCAAACATAATGAAAAACGCAAAACCCCAATTGACTTTGAACTATTTTACACATGGTAGATTCATTGATCACTCTTCTCAAAAATTCCAAGGCACGTCTCCGCTCTGAAACGTTCCTGTTTTTCCATTTTAATTTGATTTACTGTTTATTCTCCCCAGGGCTGCTGATCGGGGCACATGCAATCGAAAGCGCGGGACGTCACGTCCCGATTTATTGACTTGTGTTTAGACGACCAAGGCCAACGTGAGCTTTTTAAACAATCACGTGCACTCCGGCCCGGCTCCCCATACATCAATCAATATGCCGCCCCAGGCACCGTATACACAGCCAAGCCGCCGTGCTGGCGGCTGCACGCTTTCGCGGCGCTGCTTGTTCTTCGGCGCACCCTTTGATAATATATACCCTGCTTGAGGACTGGTCGTGTGATAGCCGCCCTTTACAGGCTGTATTTCATCAATGTTGGGATATTATGACGTAAGGATACGCTAAGTCATCACTTTGGATTTAAAGTTCCCAGACAATTAATTTTTACTACCGCCAACATGGGGAAGGTCACCCATTAGCTTCTCCTCAAGCGCTTCCTCGTTCCGTGTACCGGGCATCGCGGTAGTCCACGCGCTATCAATTCTTTATTGTTGCCCCACGCGGGCGCCACCAACCGGCCGAACAGTTTTCACGGTGCCCGACGGCCGTCTTCAGGTGGCCATGTTTTGCACCCGGGCCACCGTTTGGTTCGAGCCTGCAGTCTCAACGTCATATATATATATATGTTGGTTGTGTGTGTGTGTGGTGGGCCGTGCGTGCGTGGCGTACGTGCGGTGCGGTGCGCTCGCGTGTGTGTGCGCGTGGATTTTGCGTGTGCGTGGTGTTGCGGTGTGGCCGCGAGCGCCATCGTGTGTGTGTGTGTGTGTGTGTGTGTGTGTGGGTGCTCTGGTGGTGTGTGTGGTGTGTGTGTGTGTGTGTGATGTTGGTGGTGTGTTGTGGTGTGTGTGTTGTTGGTGTTGGGCGTGTGTGTGTGTGTGTGTGTGTGTGTGTGTGTGTGTGTGTGTGTGGTGTGGTGTGTGTCGTGTTGTGTGGTGTGTGTGTGTACATGTTCAATCGACAATTACGCCAAATGCAAACGTAGGCCAGGGACACTTTGTCTTTCTGGACTGAGCAAAGAGGAGAGAGAGACGAGGAGACGATGAGAGGAGGAGATCTTTGTAGAATAAAAGGACAAATACATGGTGTAAAGTTGTTGAAAGTGTTCAAAAAGATAGGTGAGATGTCCATGTAGATAAATAATTGTTAAAAAGCCCGATAACTTTGCGTTTTGCGATCCATTTTTCATGGGGACAGGTGGTAACAGGTCGTAGTTGGTATTTCCAGCCGACAATGTGCTATAGCCCTGCGGCAGCGATCCGCGGGCTATAGTACTAGAGCTAGACTAACCTAGGCTAGGTCCGACTCCTAGGGCTAGTACTAATTAATAATATATAAAAAAAAAATTAGAATATACTCAATTTATACTGTGTCATTAGGAAATTTATTCCCTATAGTTAGAGTATCACACGAAACCTATCCATTTGCTGACACTGACACTGAGGCCGACCAGTGGCGCTCATAGTCATAGTCATACTCATACTCATAGCCATAGGCATAGGGTCTATGTCCCCCAGGGTACTGCTGGAACGGTGTCCGGTCCACTCGGCCCACCTGCCAACTTGCCCCCGCAGTTGGGCGAGTTGACGCGTCTGGAGATCAGTGAGCTCGGCTCGTGGGATGAGTTCACCCTCCTGGAGATCTGTGAGCTCGCCTCGCCGGTTAACTTGTGAGATGTTTCACACGCCCCAACTCTAATATCTCGCGAACGATTTGAGTTACATTTCTAAAATTCTAGATACATAATGATATAAACACATGTCTTAGCTATGGTTTTTGTGTGAATTTTGAGTTTATTGAAGCACGAATAGTTTTAATTAATTACCAGAAATATACGTACGCGCGGTATCGTCATCGGCTAATATACGCGCAGTATCGTCATCGGCTAATATACGCGCGGTATCGTCATAGGCTAATATACGCGCGGCTATGGGCAGTAGGAAAGTGTACTATAACCAAGAGTACATCATAGAGAAGAGTATGACACAGTTTTAACAGCATTTTGCATAGTTTTCAACTTGTAAATATTCTATCAATATGTGAATAAATATATTCAAACTTTACCTTGTTTTCGTCTATGATTCTCCCTTAATCATATGACACCACAAATTTACCTGAAAACGTATTTGTTCTTCAAAAAAGTTACTTTAATACGACACGGTTTTGCACAGTTTTCATGCATGGATGCATGTTTTAGACTAAACTTTGATATGGGATTAGTGTTCTATTGTCTATGACGGAACTTTGGGGGCCGTAAGGGATATTAGGCATCGAATTGTATTCAGCGTGCAGCGTTTCCAGCGTGCTAAAAATAAATGTGCTCACGGCCAGCTAGCTAGCAGCTGATTCCCTTACGGCCCCCAGCGTACCGCCATAGACAATGGAACACTAATCCCATATCAAAGTTTGGTCTAAAACATGCATCCATGTGTGAAAACTGTGCGAAACCGTGTCGTATTCAAATAACTTTTTTGAAGAACATACGATTTTCAGGTAAATTTATGATGTCATATGATTAAGGGAGAATCATAGACGAAAACAAGGTAAAGTTTGAATAGTTATTCACATATTGATAGAATATTTACAAGTTGAAAACTATGCAAAACGCTGTTAAAACCGTGTCATACTCTATTATGTACTCTTGCTATATAACTAATATCTCGCAAACGATTTGAGTTACATTTATAAAATTCTAGATACATATAAACACATGTCTTAGCTATGGTTTCTGTGAATTTGGAGTATATTGAAGCACATATAAACACATGTCTTAGCTATGGTTTCTGTGAATTTTGAGTATATTGAAGCACATATAAACACATGTCTTAGCTATGGTTTCTGTGAATTTTGAGTATATTGAAGCACGACTAACAGTCCAGGGCTCGACCTTAACTTTTTTTTCAGGTGGCCTCGCGAGATATTAGAGTTAGTACACGAGTTAGCCGGCGAGGCAAGCTCACCGATCTCCAGGAGGGTGAACTCATCCCACGAGCCGAGCTCACCGATCTCCAGACGGGTGAACTCGCTACATGGTTCGAGTTTGCTGGTGGGCCGAGTTGACACGTGACCTGCCGAAACGTACCCTGGTAACTATCTGACATGGTTAGGGTTAGGGAGTAGGCGTAGGCGACTCTTTAGACTCGTTAGTGGAGTAGGCGAGGTATGGTCCGGCATATTAGATAGTACCAGGGTACGTTCCGGCAGTACCCTGGGGGACATCTCTCTAAGCACCAGTGGCAGTGTCCGTGCCAGAGAGTGTTACGTTTTCTGTGACAGTGGTTCTGCTATGCTCCATTACAAAAATAGAGACGGGTCTGCCATTTAAAATACAGTTCAGTACTTGCCTCCTTTGCTCTGCATTACAATACATACACTCTTGCAGCACAGTTTGTCATAAAAATAAATATCATAATCATATAAATAATATATCATACATAAAATTCAGTAGTTGATTTGCAGGTGTATGATTAAGGTTGGTTAATACTGCAATTACTGTCAACAGCTCTTGTAAGTATAATGTGTATACTGTTAATTCCCATTGGTTAAATTGCTGTGTTTGATGGGAAAGTGGTACTATGTATTATCGATTTTTTGTTGTGAGAAAAGACCGTTCGACCTAAATCTGTGACTGCACGCACTGACAACAAAACGCAGAGGCGGGACATCTCCGTGACGATGGCGGCAACAGAGAAGGTGCTCGTCAAGGCCCTGTATGCCTACAAGGGCCTCAACACCGACGAGCTGAACTTTCGCAAGGGCGACGTCATCACCGTCACCCAGCAGCTGGACGGCGGCTGGTGGGAGGGCACGCTGGGCGACCTCACCGGCTGGTTTCCCAGCAACTACGTACGCGAGGTGCACGCGGATCGCGCCGCGAGGGCGGGCCGCGCGGACGGACCGAAGCGCGAGAGCATGCGTGGCTACCATAACATCGTGCTGCAGAACATCGTCGAGACGGACCGGGCGTACGTCGGTGAACTCGAGGTGGCAGTCGATGGCTACCTCGCTCCGCTGAGGAACGCCAACATGCTGCCGGCCGACGACTACACATGCCTGTGCGGCAACGTCGAAGAGATCGTTGCGTTCCAGAAGGCGTTCGACGCGGCGCTGGAGGCGTGCTCGCACTTTGCGTACGAACAGCAGCGCGCCGGCGGCACGTTCCTGAACGTGGCGCGCGCGTTCCACGACCTGTACGTGGCGTACTGCGCGAACCACCCGCGCGCCGTGCAGGTGCTCGCGCGCCACCGCGATGCGCTGGACGGCTTCGCGGAGTCCCGCGGCGCGACGCCGCCCGGCGCCATGGCGCTGACGACGTCGCTGAGCCTGCCGTTCCGGCGGCTCGCGCGATACCCGATCATGCTGAAGGAGCTGGAGCGGCAGGTGGAGGAGGACCACGTCGACCGCGGCGACATCCAGCGATCGATAGCCGTCTATCAGGAGATCCTTGATGAGTGCGAGTGCATACGCCGGCAGAAGGATCTGGAGCTGGAGGCGCTGACAGGAACAATCCGCGGCTGGGAGGGCAAGCCGATCGCGGCGTTCGGCGAGCTGCTGCTGATGCGGAACGTCGCCGTCGTGAGCCCACCGGGCGGCGAGCGCAAGGAGCGATGTTTCCTGCTGTTTTCCGACACGCTGGTCATGCTGTCGTCGTCGCCGCGCATGAGCGCGTATATCTACGAGGGCCAGGTACGTATACGTGTGCCTTACTTTCGTGCTGTTCAAACAATATAGAGTAATATGAAACACATAATGGACATAGGTCTACAAGGGCCAGGTTATATGCTTTATTTGTACACCTTTCAAACTGAGCATTCTGCATGCAATCTGATACTTCATAATGTGCACAATTCTACAAGGTTCAGAGCTCGGGTGTATGTACTCTATTTTAGTAGTGTTCCAACTAATCAAGTTCATAAGTCATTTCTGACATAAGTAATGTGTAGTCTCTATGAATCTATAAGAAGTTCGGAGTACTAGTAACTGATTTCTCGTGGCGCTCTCGTATGTAGGTGCAGCTGGTCGGCATCACCGTGCGCAAGCTGGAGGACACGGATGCCTTGAAGCACACGCTCGAGCTCTACGGCCCGCTCATCGAGAAGATGCTCGTGGCGTGCGCGTCGCCACGCGAGCAGACGCTCTGGCACGACACGCTGCTCCAGCAGATCAGCGCGAGCGCGGGTGCGGCCGGCCGCCACGCCGTGCCGACGGTGACGACGACGGCGCCCCGCGCCGCGACGGCCGTTGCCGAGACGAGCAAGCCGCAGCCGCGCGCCGCCATCCCGCTGCCGTTCCCGCCCGCGTCGCCCGGACCGTTCCCGGCGATCCCGCGCGCGTGGAACATCTCGCGGCTGCGGCCCGCGGCGCCGGCCCGCCCGCAGCCGCCTTCTGCCCGCAGCCGCGAGGAGGTGGCGAGCCCGCGCGTCGGCCGGCGCGCCCCATCGCCACGCCGCCGGGGGGCGCAGCGGGACGAGCGCGCGACGGCGGGCGACCAGGTGGTGCTGCAGGTGATCGAGGCGTACTGCACGAGCGCGAAGGCGCGCTACACGGTCAACTCGACGCTGCTCGACGCGCCGCAGGTTCTCATCGCCGAGGACGAGAAGATCATCGTCGAGGAAACGAAGGGAGACCGCATCGTCGTCGAGGAGCGAAGCCTCGTCGACACGGTCTACGCGCTCAAGGACAAGGTGGGCGCGCTGGAGGCGGCCGTGCGCGGTGTGCGGCGCAGCATGGAGGAGGAGAGGCGCGCGAGGCGTCGCCTCGAGACACTGCTGCGCAAGTCCGTGCGCAGCCTCGTCGAGATCAACTTCGATGAATCTCAAACGCAGGCGACGTTGTGAGGCCGATAACCCCCCCTGGTGATTCTTGCAGGCGATGTTGTGAGTTAGATAGTGCCTCCTGGTGTTCCTCGCAGGTGTCGTTTTGAGTTAGTGCCTCCTGCTGTTGCTCGCAGGTGACGTGAGTTAGATAGTACCCGATGGTGTTTCTCCCCGGCAACGTTGTGAGGCCGATAGCGCCCCCTGGTGATTCTTGCAGATGATGTTGTGAGTTAGCGCCCCTGGTGTCTCTCGCAGATGATGTTGTGAGGTAGATAGTGCCCTCTGGTGATTCTCGCAGGCGATGTTGTGAGGTAGATAGTGCCCTCTGGTGATTCTTGCAGGCGATGTTGTGAGGTAGATAGTGCCCCCTGGTGTCTCTCACAGGTGATGTTGTGAGTTAGGTAGCGCCCCCTGGTGTTCCTTGCAAACAAGATTGTGAGGTAGATAGTGCCCCCTGGTGTCTCATGCAGGTGATGTTGTGAGTTAGATTGCGCCCCTGGTGTTCCTTGCAAACAACGTTGTGAGGTAGATAGTGCCCTCTGGTGTTCCTCGCAGGCGACATTGTGAGTTAGATAGTGCCCCCTGGTGTTCCTCGCAGGCAACGTTGCAAGTTAGATAGCGCCACCTAGTGTTCATGACAGGCAATGTTATGAAGCTGGTACCAGTCCCTGCTGCACTCTAGTGTTACTCACAGACATTGGAATAAGACCTTGCTGCCCTCTGACGTACCTTATTCAGCAAGACTGAATTCCAGCTATCCTCTGGTGTTTTTCACAGCTGATGCTATGAGACCTCTGCTGTCCCTGGTGATTATTTGACATCCCTTTGCACTTTTCCTGGTTCTCATCTTTGTGCACATGGTAAATTTGTGTACAACACTTTACTGCCACCAAGCCGTATGTGGATGTGATTATACTCAATTCAAAACTGGTGATTCGGTTTTTCCTTTTAAATAGATGTGGCAAATCTATTTTGTTTTTGCGCAGGCTAGCTCTGACAGATGCGTAGGACTGTAATGTCAAGATATACGATGGGTAATTCATCGCACATTGGAAATATGCAGCTCGAGCACGTGCGCATGTGTAGGTGTGCCACAGCCATTATTGATTCAAACAGCAGCTAGGTAATCTTGTTTTGCGTTATTTAATACAGCAATGGACAACATTCTGTGTGAGACGCACCCCCGTTCTATTTCTAGAAGAACGTTTTTGCTGTGCGTAGCTGCTGGATTCTGCTTGCTTGCGTGTGTAGCAATGCAGACTCATTTCTCGGCTGCTCTGTTTCGATTAGGAATGTTAACACTTGTGGTGAGTTTTCATTTTACAGCTCAGCCGACATCTGTTCTCTACATCTGTCACACAAACTCTCTGTTTATTGAGATGTACAACAGCATTATCAAGTTACCATGCTACTGCCATGCATTGCTGCACTACCATGCACTGCATCTACACTGAATGTTTACTTATCCCTGCCTGCCAGAAACACAAATTGTAACAATGTGCATACAGCACAGACGTTATATTCGAATTAGCAACAGGTGAATGTGAAATTACGAAGTAATCATTGGTGTCTGTGTAGCGGCTGATTGGTTGTATATCTATTTGTTCAACAGACACTTTTTTTGTTAGTGTGCCTTTCCTGCTTGTATGTAATGTAATTGAGTTATAAAATGTGCACACTCCATATGTTTATATCATGCTTGGATTCTACCTTAGGTACTGCTTGCTATGATAAACTGTACTGATAATTATTGTATTCTCGCGAGTGCTTCCACTCTAGCTAGTCTAAAAAATGTCCTTTGTCCAGTTGGATTGTTACCGAGTTTGGAGGTTAAGTTAGTGTAAAAATATAACTAAGAATGGCAATGTGTAAGCTCTGGAAATTTGTATATATCCATATAGCTGGATTTAAAATAGCTGCAATATTAAAGTTATTATAGGTGGCTATTTGATAAAAATTTCAATGATTGCTATCATTGCAGTGTATCCCGTACCGTATATAGATTGGCATGCTTGCATAATCTTACTGTGAGGTAAGGAAGGAAAATAGTGAACATACATGTAGATCCGACCATTTAACTATTAGACTTGTGTGCATTTATGAATAAAATGGATTTTTTATTTGTTAATGTCTAAAATATATAACAACATACGGTGCAAGCATCATCTAAGCATGGCAGATGATGTCGCATTCTAATACTAAACAACGTCTTGTTATCTCTTTGCTATCGTATTGGTTCTCACACATAGGATCAGTCTTCGCTACATAATGACTTTATCTGACGAAATTCTAAACGGCAAAACGAAAAAAAAGTGCCAATTCTATGTTAAATACTACATAGAAGTAGAACAAATCACCGACGAATTGCTATAAGGTCGAAATTTTGGCGGTCACGTGTGTAAAACCACGCATAAACTAGTGTACTTTGACCGACCTTGCAACAATATTCAGTAGGGCGTAGATATATTGCTCAAATCAGTTGTTATGTATAGATGTTCCTTTTATAATGTCATACATTTCATTAGTCGTCTATATGCGTGTATACTTTATGGTAATGATAACACGCACAAATGCGCACATTCAATAATATTTTATTAGTAAACTCTCCCGTAATGCGTGCCCTGTATGGAGTAGGTCGCCCCATGCTGCAAAAATTGACCCAGTTCTGAACATTGCCTGCTGAGCCATTTCTGGATGCTTGAGACCAACCAACGTAGATGACCTCTACCTGCTCTGTGGCATCGCTCCCCCACACGTTAGACGAATGGCTTCATCCCAAGTAGAGAAACTTAACCAAGAAAATGACCCTCGCCACCCCCTCTTCCAGCATGAAACAGTAAAGAAGAGACTAAAGTCCAGGCACAGTTTCATCCACGCGGTTCAACCCCTGGATGGCAACCTCCAAAACTACAGGATCGTCCAATGGTCAAAGCATCTTCAGGCAAGCCAACATAAGCTTTCACTCAGACCCCAGGAATCCCTCCCGCCCAGAGCCAACGAGGTATGGCCGACGTGGTTATGCCTAAATCAGGACAGGTTTTGGCCGATGTAGGGCACTCATGCAGAAATGGGGATACACTGAAGATGGTCCAATCGAATGCGACTGCGGGGAGGACCAGACTATGGGACATCTCCTGATATGCCCCTTATTGCCAGAGCCCTGTAGCCCTGAAGACCTTGAGGCTTTTAACCACCGTGCCAAGTCCTGTGTGCTGCAGTGGCTGGGCCGAGTGTAGTGTAGTGACCCGAGAAGAAGAAGAAGAAGAAGTAAACTCTCGACACTAAAACACTGACCTCATCAGCGTTTGTAAAAAAGCAGTCGGATTTGTTGTCAGTTGTGCTTGCACGCACACCAATCTCCGCACGACTGTCTACTCGGCACTCAAGATTGATGTAAAGTGAGATATCTTTGGTGAACGACATAATTTTGATTGGCTCACGGAACAGCCGGGCCCATTGTCAGAAACAAAATTAGTCTGAACATTAGTTTTTTTAACATTGGATTATCTTGTGGACCGGAAATCTATACACTATACGTATAAAAAACTCGTAACTTCATCCTGTTTCTGTCAACAGTCTCTGAGAAAAAATAAATGATAAAACTATCATTAAGACTAATTTTGTTCCCGACAACTGACCCTGGGTTTCCAACATGGCGGCGCCCTGCTTACACGTAGCTAGTCGGGAAGTTGGAGTACTGCACCTTGATTGGTGCTGGGAAGAGGATGTTGGCAAGACCAAGGTGATCGCACAGGCCACACAGGCGGTCCAGGTCGTTCACTTGGAACTCCCAAACGCACTGCTGAAACTCCTCGGAGAAGATGAGTCCTTCAACACAGCTCCACCGCTGCTGCATCTCGTGCGGCAGGCCCGACCACTGGCACTGGTGGTACTGTCGGCAGTTCCTCTTGTCGGCGAAGAAGCCATCCACCTTGCAGGTGAACACGTCGCACGAAGCGTCGGGCTTGCCGATCTTCGTCGTCGTCGTCGGCGGCGGCGCGGCGGTGGTCGTGGGACGTGGAGTCGTTGTGCGTCTGGTTCTCGGACGACGTGTCCTCGGTCGCCGCGTCGTCGGCGGCGGCGGCGCGGCGGTGGTCGTGGGACGTGGAGTCGTTGTGCGTCTGGTTCTCGGACGCCTCGTCCTCGGTTGCCGCGTCGTCGTCGGTCGCCTGGTGGGTCGCGTTGTGGGCACTACTGACGTGCTCGTTTCCAGCACGTTGTTGATGGTGGTTAGCAGCGGATACTTGCCCTGCCCGCACTGCGTGCCCGTGAAGTCGTCAAAGTCCAATGCCCATATCATGGCACCCCCCAATCGCTTTTGCTTTACGAAGTTCGCCTGCAGAAGACGAGTGGTAAGTGGTGATATATATATATGACGTGTGGCGAAAGCATGTTGGTCGCGCGCCATGTTAATAGCGAAATCTTGGGCTGCGCGTCACGCACTTGTAGAGAATAGACGACGAAGTTAGTGCAACGTTTCACACGTACACAGAGCTGCTGATCCAATTCTTTGTCAATTCCTGGGCGCTTAGCAGAGCCATATGATATATATAATATATCTATAATATATATATATATATATGTATATATCGTATTATATAATAGTATATATATTAATATTATATAATTACATATATTCGTAAAATCATTGTTTTATCGCTGCAATGTGTATACTATATATATATATATCCTTGCAGCGATAAAACAATGATTTTATTCATATTGGTGCCATTGCTTGTATTCACCTTTGCCCGGATACTCTGTGGGTCGTCGTAGGATACGAAGTTTCTGTCCTTCACAGCGTAGGGAACCTTTTGTTCGGTATTAAAATAACGAGTGTAGCCATTCTTCAGATGTCCGCAAACCTTTAGCGTTAAACATAAAACCAACAGGTAAGAACATTATACTTAAAGCGGAACGCTGGTCTATAATTTGAAAGAGTAGTGGCACTAGTGCGATACTTCTTGCATAAGAAACGACCTATTCACACACATATCTCTGTCAGAAACTGCTCAAGTTTAAGTTAAAATTCAAGTCTACTATGCGTGGAATATTTTCGGAGATATGTATGTTTGAGGCATGCATTTAACGACATGATTAACGATGCGTGTTTCTTAACTTGGGTTAAGTGTTAACTCGGGTTAAGGTGACTCCGTGTAGTCGATGCGTGTTTCTTAACGGCGGTTAAGTGTTAACTTGGGTTAACTTAATTCGGGTTGAGGTGATCTCTCATCTCTCTCTCGTCAAATCTAATCTATCATCAATGAGAAGTCAACTCACCTCGTAGTATGCCACGAAGCCGGCCTGGCGGGTGAAAGGCGCCGGCGGACACGACTGTCCCGTAGTTGGATCGCCGATGTCGTGTTTGGCGGCGTTTGCCAGCATCACGCAGCGGCCGTACGTCGGCATGCCCAGAGTCAACTTCTCAGACGGACATCCCTCGCGAATGTATTTGTTTACACCCCACTCCTATGGCAGAGCAAAAGGAAAATCGTGTTCAAAAGGATATCGACTTGTGTAGCTACTACTGTGCAGATATAACACCCATGTGAGCATTGATTTGCCCGTAGGCTGATTTCAATGTTGTTTGTTGTAGAACGCTTAAGGTTTGTACGTATCTAGCATACATGTTTAACAGAGCCACATGCGTGTATTTACATAATCGGGTGCTACTGCCCTGGACAGCGTTTGATTCTTATCAAATACCGCATCAATTAATGGTGAGCTCCACACACCGCACGCGCGCACGCACCCAAATGCACGCAGTCACACGCGTATGCACGCGCAACCACAAGCACAAACACACAATAATGGACGAACAAACGCACGCACGCATACGCACACCCCACACACCTGCACGCGCGCGCGCGCGCGCACACACACACACACACGCGCGCGCACATACACAACCGCGCGCCCACACATAACCACACAACACACACACACACACACACACACGCACGTGCGCGCGCACATACACACAACCGCGCGCCCACACGCACACGCACACATAGGCACAACACACACACACACACACACACTATTCGTAGTATTGCTGTCACACACACACACCACATACGCACGGCACACACGCACACACACACCCACGCACACACACACACACACACAGACACAGGCGGCGCCGGAAGCAGTTTTGGATTGGGGGGCAAAGACCTAAGGGGCGCTCACGGATTTTTTTTATGGTGGTGTGCGTGAGCGCGTGTGCGCCGAGTGTGTGCGTGAGCGCCGTGCTGTGCGACGTGTGTGTGTGTGAGCGCGGTGTGCTACGGTGGTGTGCGTGAGCGTATGTGGTGTGACGTATGTGCGTGAGCGCGTATGTGCGATCGTGTGTGCGTGTGCTGTCGTGAGGCGCGTTCGTGCGACGCTGTGCGGAGCGCGTTGTTGTGCCGTGAGCGCGTGTGTGCGTGAACGCGTCGTTTGTGACGTGTGTTGCGTGAGCGCGCCACGTGTCTGTGCGTGAGCGCGTGTTGTGCGTGGATACGCGCTGTTTGTGACTGTGTGTGCAGTGCAGCGCGTGTGTGCGTAAGCGCGTTGTGTGGTGTGGTGCGGAGCGCGTGTGTGCGTGAGCGGTGGTGTGTTTGACGTGACGCGCGTGGTGCGTGAGCGCGTGGTGTGACGTCGTGTGCGGCGTGTGTGCCGTGAGCGCCGTTGCTTCAACCGTAGGTGGCGACGTGGGGTTGCTGAAAGCTTCGTATGTGCGACGTGTGTGCGTGAGCGCCCGTGTGTGCGACGTAGTGCCGTGAGCGCGCTCACGTGGTGCGACGTTGAGTGCGTGAGCGCGGTTCTGGTGACGTGTGTGCGTGAGCGCGTGTATGTGACTGTGTGTGCGTGATGCGCGTGCTGTGCGGCCGATGTGTGCGATGAGCGGTCGTGTGTGCGACGTGGCGTCGCGTGAGCTGCGTAGTGCGACGTGTGTTGCGTGAGCGCAGAGCAGACGGCCGCGCCCGCGGGCTCCGGCCGGCCCGTCTGTGGTGCGCACGTTTGAAGCGTTCAATCACGCAACGCGCGCAGCGAAACTTAACAATGGATGTATAATTAGTTTCTTGAACGTTTAGAATAGCAGGTCTTTAGTCCATAAGATTTAGTTTTCTTTCCAACTTTTCTTTTGGGGGCTTTTCTCGTTTTTAGGCCCGCCCCCACCTTGTTTGATTGGGAGAGCGCGCCCCCTGGCCCCCCGCTCCCCACTCCGCGCTTCTGCACGAGACCAAACCACACCACACACACACACCACCACCCACACCACCACACACACACACACCACACACCACGCCACGGGCCAGCACGCACACACGGTACCGCCGCACGCACCGCAGCACACCACCGTACCTGGGGTGGATGGTGTCCTACACGCGGCCGTCTTTTCGGTCCTCCTTATGCGTGCAGCGGTTGCGTTGTGACCGCGCGGAACGCTTCCCCAGGCGTCGTGACAGCCGTCGTGACGCCATCACGATTGAGAAAAGTAGAATTCCTAAAATTTTCCGCGCCACCTACGGTTCCAAGTCACAACATCCGACTAGACGACGACAGCAGAACCAAGTAAAAACATAAACAAACTGAACACAAGGTCAATAGAAAGCCATCCTGACGTTCTTTATATCGGACGCTTATACAGTAGGAGCTACGCACATCACTAAAACTATTGTCAAAGACTTCTCACATTAACATCTAAAATATTCGCCGCATTAAACCACAAACCCAATTACATTTTACTCACCGCGGCGCGGTGGGCAGTCGTACCGCCACGATGAACACGGTCGTCGCCACTAGGTATACTAGAATATTGTAATTAGTGCTATCGTATATTGTTTGGGTATTTGTAAATAACCAGGAGTAAATTAAATAAAACATTTCGTCTGATTAATTTTATTCCTTAGCGAATGATTGACGCTTTTATGCTCACAATAAGCACGTCAGTTCATAAACGAGCACGGGATTCATTGTGTGCGCTCCACACACGTCAGCTCGGTTAATTTTACTGGCCTTATATTTTTGTGCCTTTCAAAGGGTTCCCAAAACCGCCACTTTTTGATTAAATTACATAATTAATCTGGTAAAAAATTCGTTGTTAGTTGTGTTTTCATTAAAAAATACACATAGTCTGCGATAGTACCGCGTAGGCTTGGTTCTGACTGCGTCGGGAGCTTCGCGCCGTACGCTGCCATTATGCCCAGTCGACTGTCGCTAGCCCACGTCGTACGGTTGTGCTGTCGATGACACTGCGGCCGCTGGTCCAGCAGCCGCTCCTTACCGTCCGACCGCCTCATCTTCGAGGCCAGCCATCAAATCCTACGGTGGGCGCGGCAACAACGTCTGAGATGTCACCGTGGTGATCTTACATGCCGAAACAACAGTCTGCGTGTTGTTCACTGTTTCATTCTCTACAAGCGAACAAACAGTCGGTGATTTTCATTGTCATTTTACAACGCGAACAACAGTTTGGGGTGTTCACTGTTTATTCTTACGTCCTCGCGATACAACAAGTCTGAGTGTGTTCACTCGTCATTCTTACAAGCGAACACACAGTGTGTGTTTCATGCGTCATTCTTAGGACGCTAACAACAGTCTTGGATATGTTCCTTGGTCATGCTTACATGCGAACAACAGTCTTTCGTGTCTTCACTGTTTATCCTTACCAGGGATAAACGTCTAGGTGTTTATCTGGTGATTCTTAACGCTACAACAGTCTGATGTTGTTCATGAGTCATTCTGTACATGCGAAACAACAGTGGCTGGTGTGTCACTGTCATTCTTACAAGGCGACAACAGTCTGCGTTGTTCACTGGTCATTTTTCACGGCGAACAACAGGCTGTGTGTTCATGTCATATTTAATGCGAACAACAGTCTGTGTGTTACTGTTTCATTGCTTACATGGAAAACAGTCTGGTGTGTTTACTTCGCTCATTCTTACATGCGAACAACAGTCTGGTTGTTCACTGGTCATTCTTACGGCGCAAACAACAGTCTGTGTGTTCATGGTCATTCTTCGTTGGAACAACAGTCTGATATGTTCACTGATGGTCATTCTTACATGCGAACAAACAGCTCTGGTGTGTTCACTGCGTCATTCTTACATGCAAACAACAGTCTGGCTGTGTTCACTTGGTCATTCTTACACTGCGAACAACAGTCTGGTATGTTCACTGGTCATTCATACGGGCGAACAAGAGTCCGGTGTGTTCACTGGCATTTACGGGAGAACAAGAGTTTGGCATGTTTACTGCAGCAACCACCGGGCAACAAGACGCGGTCATGTTCACTTGTCATCTCAACACTCTTAACCTCGTAATATTAGTCTTCAAAGTCCAAGGGACTACATCAAAGATGGAAAGAGACAAAGTTGATCAAATAGACAGATCACACTGCGGATCGCAGTAGACAGGAGCCTCAAGTTTGAAACTAACTAAAGAGGAACTCTTACGGGCGAACAAGAGTCTGTATGTTTACTTGGTATTCTTACGGTGCGAACAAGATGTCTGACATGTTCACTGCGTCATTCTTTACGGGCGAACAAGAGTCTGACATGTTCACTGGTCATTCTTACGCGGGCGAACAAGAGTCTCGGTATGTTCACTGGTCATCCTTACGGCGGAGAACAAGAGTCTGGTGTGTTTACTGCGTCAATTATACGCGGCCGAACAAGATCGGTGTTCATGGTCATTCCTACGGGCGAACAGAGTCTGGTATGTTCACTGTCGTCATTCTTACGGGAGAACAAGAGTCTGATATGTTCACTGGTCATTCATACGGGCAAACAACAGTCTGGTGTGTTCACTGGGCTATCTTACGGGCGAACAAGAGCGCTGGCATGTTCACGGTCATTTCTCAACCTTATAACCTCGTATCTCGTAAATATTAGTCTTCAAAGTTTAAGGTACTATATATCGAAGACGGACAAAGTAAGGACCTTTATTATTGAAGGCCATTACCGCCAAAACCTACCTATTTTAATTGCGCTTAAAATGTATTTTAAGCGCAATTGAATTCCAGCCAATCAGAACAGTGGTTTTTAATCGCGCCTAAAAATGTATTTAAGCGCGATTGAATTCCAGCCAATCAGAACAGTGGTTTTTAATCGCGCTAAAATGTATTTTTAAGCACCGATTAAATTGTGGTAGCTTGTGTGGCCGTTGTAGCTACTATACACCACTCACTCACTAAGTCACCTAGATTGCAGCGTGTACATGATACAGGTGTGCGCGCCGGGCGCGCGCGCGCGGTGTGTGTGTGTGTGTGTGTGTGTGTGTGTGTGTGTGTGTGGTGTGTGTGTGTTGTGTGTTATTTTGCGTTACTTATATATAGGCGCGTATTCTATTCATGTACATAGATCGTTTGTAACGTAAGCGTTGATAATTTCATGAGTCAACTTATCAATTCAAATCAAAGAGCAATGCCAATGAATCACAACTAAACCATGCGCGTGCTGCTATTAAACATATTTGTATGTAGA